AGAACTTTGCAAGTTGCCATATATAACTTCAAGACAGTAATTAAAATAAAGTTATAATAATTTAATAGCGTTATTACACCTCCCTTTCTCTCTATAATCTTGTAGATGATGTTTCAGAATTTGTTCAAGAGAAGGTGCTTGTTGAGGTCGTTGCCGTTAGTTACATGGAGCCATGCCCAGTTTGCCCACTTGAAACAGACGAGGGAGATAATGTTAGCAGGCATTGCATTAAAACTAAAGTTAGTAGCATTCCGTGTGATGCAATTATAATGTCATTGAATTTTTAGATAAAAATAAATACTGGTAATCTTCTGTTGATAATGTCAGTGCCTATATTGATTAGCTCTTCCTCTTTTAGTCCATTCTTCAAATTGTATGTGTCAATCAGGTACAAAAATTTGTAATAATTTTTAAAGCAATTTTTTGGAAAAAACCATGAGCTATATTAGCTGAGACGCTGCTGCACCCTACTAAAACCCGGAAATATTTTATTTGCAACGGAAGTAGGCGTTACCTTGTAATTATTATTCAGATTTTGGCTCATTTTTTAAAATAGTCATAGCTTGAAAAATTGAAGTTGGAATCAGCTCAAACTTTCTACACAGCATAAGTACATCAATATGTATCAGAAAATGTAATAAAAATTTGGGATAATTTTGGAGCCATTTTTTGAAAAAACCATTTATACAATAGCCTTGGGTATTTTTTAAAAATTGGCTCGTTTTTTAATGCTCATAACTTGAAAACTATTTGTCGGAATCAGCTCAAACTTTCTACATAGCATAAAGACATCAATATGTATCAGAAAATTGAATAAAAATTAGGGGCTATTTTTTGGAAATACATAGGCTATTTTTGAGATTTTGGCTACTTTTAAAAAATGGCTGTAACTGTAGTACAAGGTATTTTCAGAAAATTGGCTACTTTTAAAAATTGCCATAACTTTATCAGAATCAGCTCAAACTGATTGTTTAAAAGACTATTTACATTGTAACTTTAAGTTTTATAATTTTAACTTTTGACTCCTATAGATAACTTTGGACTCCACTCTCAACATCTATCTCTCCTTCATCCTTATAAGGAAACAGGAGAAGCTCCACCCTCTAATGCTATCACCTTTTGAACGGAGACATTGTTATAATAGTATCATCAAAAACAAGTTAGATTTAATATGCTAATTATGCTTGTATTTTATTCAAAATAGGTCAGTATAGATTATAGTCTGACTCATTTCCCTCTCTGTATCTTTTTGCTAATGAAGTAGTTAAAACATTTTAAATGATTTTGAAAAGGTACAATTTAAACTGATTAAGTTCTTCAAAAAAAACAAAATTAATAGCCAAAATCATTATTGATAATTAATTTTGATTATGTTAACAGTTAACTATAGACTCTACATGTAAATAAATGTTTAAAATGCTAGCAAAATGATTAATGTTCATGCAAGTGGGGAAAAAGGATCAACAGGACAAAAACCCAACCACCAAACTGAGTATCATCATAAAGACAGGAGCTACTAGTCCAGTAGCACTGGATACTCCAGTACAAGGCTCATCCACACTAACACCACTGCATGAGGTGACACCAGATCCAAGATATGGCTCAGTACAGCAACCCATCCTATCACTGAATGTGTTAACAGCAGCAAGACAAGTGAAGGAAGCAGAACTGCAGGATATTCCACTAGAGGTAATTGTACAGGTATTAAACAAACGTTGGAAACTTGAGTAGTCTCCTCGATATTCCCTTATGTACCTCACCTCACAATAGTCTCCACTCTCCTGTCCACAGACA